TATTCCTGTGTTATTTCTGTGTTAATCCTGAGTTATTACTGTGTTATTACTGAGTTATTACTGCGTTATTACTGTTATTACTGTGTTAATCCGGTATTATTCCTGTGTTATTAATGCGTTATTACTGAATTATTACTGTGTTATTACTATGGTATTACTGTGGTAATCCTCTGTTATTTCTGTTATTCCTGTGTTATTCCTGTGTTATTAATGTGTTATTCCTGTGTGCTGTGTTATTACTGTGTTATTAATGTGTTTTTTCTGTTATTACTGTGTTATTACTGCATTATTACTGTGGTATTACTGTGTTAATCCTGTGTTATGTCTGTTATTACTGATTTATTCCTGTGTTATTACTGTTTTATTCCTGTATTGTTACTGTTTTATTACTGTGTTATTTCTGTTATTACTGTGTTATTACTGATTTAATCCTGTGTTATTACTGCATTGTTACTGTGTTATTACTGAGTTAATCCTGTGTTATTACTGCGTTATTACTGTGTTATTACTGAGTTAATCCTGTGATATTACTGCGTTAATCCTGTGTTATTACTGCATTATTACTGTGTTATTCCTGAGTTAATCCTGGGTTATTACTGTGTTATGCCTGTGTTATTACTGTGTTATTAATGTGTTATCCCTATGTTATTCCTGTGTTATGCCGGTGTTATTCCTGTGTTTATTACTGTGTTATTCCTGTGTTATTGCTGTGTTATTAAGTTATTACTGCGTTATTACTGTGTTATTACTGTGTTATTCCTGTTTTATTACTGTGTTATTACTGTGTTATCCGGTATTATTCCTGTGTTATTAATGCGTTATTACTGAATTATTACTGTGTTATTACTGTGGTAATCCTCTGTTATTTCTGTTATTCCTGTGTTATTCCTGTGTTATTACTGAAGTATTACTGTTATTAATGTGTTATTCCTGTGTTATGCCTGTGTTATTAATGTGTCATTCCTGTGTCATTTCTGTGTTATTACTGAGTTAATCCTGTGTTATTCCTGTGTTATTACTGAACTATTTCTGTTTTATTACTGTGTTATTCCTTTGTTATATCTTTGTTATTAAAGTGTTATTCATGCAAAGTATGTTGCAGCTGTTATCTCTATGAAATTATGTTGTCTTTGCTATTCTGTTACTAATAAAATAGTTTTTTTAGTTAGTTTATCCTATTTTGGCACACTCCCTAAACTGAACTTGAGTAGTTTTACTAAGGGCACCCATCTCACATGAAATTGAACTATGTCAAACATATTCTACCTGCCTTCCTGA